AGACCACGGCTGTAGATTGTATAACAGATCTGACACACCAAACAGCTTGATTTAACTACCTTGACCTCAACCCTGCTAGGTAAGACCTTCCATGACAACGAACCGACACCTTCACCTCACCACCGAACATGACAACAGTTGATGTAGGGTCGAATCACCAGATCAGAAATCGCTCTCTCGCGATCTACTGTGTTACACGGCTGTTGTAGGAGTTGTGTTAGTGAGGTATATCGGACTATTTGTCTTCCGGCGTTGGTGTCGCTCAGCCACATCAGACACGCTGTCCTCCAAAGAGCTTCCATTTCGTCGGGAGTGGATCTTTTTTGAGGATAACTTACTACATCTGGAGTCGTAGTTATAGACTCAGTTCTAGCTGCCACACAAAAAAGTTTTCCTGGAAAAACCGGCAGTCAGAAATTGGAGAACTTGGTTCAGCCACGCAGACTCCGCCTCTTGAAGCTGCGTGTTGGGTGATCAAGAAACTCTAACACAACACCTTCATTTCCTATTTCTTCATTGTGCAGAGTGAAAGACCCCGTGGTGATTGTTTTCTTTCTACTGCGGTGTGACCTTGACCTTGAACATGGAGAGTGAGCCAATGAGTTGACAGAAACGGTTGATATAACGACAAGAATAACGTTCAGAACGCACTATTTGTCAGATACAATTTGCAAAACAGCCCCAGGTTGACCCAAGTGAGCTAAATTTAAATTAGCCGCCAGATTGTTTAAGTTGACTCTGCCGCGAGGGACTTGAAACACCAAGAATTTAGTCCACGCGGGCGGGAGAGGGGATGAGAGCGCTAGCGGATGGCTTTGGAGAAAGGGGTGATAAAAAGCCACCCGGCGCAAGAAAAAAAGAGCCAAATCCACCACCCTCTAGCTGCTGCTGCTGCTGCTGCCATCTTGAGAAGGCCTGCACTGAGAGGCAGCGGGCGCACTAGCGGGACTCTCTCGCTCTCGCCTCTGTTCTTCCGTGGGAACAAAAAAGAGGAGTGTCGGAGGGGTCGCGAGCGTCAGTTGTCAGCCCAGGGAGTGTGTGTGCACCTTTTTGTGTGTTTGCTTTTTTTGGTTCGCTTTCTCGCTTCCTCCCGGCTTTTAACAGACCCTCTGATTTCTGGTGCGAGGAGAAACGAGTGCTCCGCTTTCGCTTTTAGGCGCGACGCGAACCCCCCTCCCCCCCACCCCGCACCCCTTTCGTTCCCCGCCCCCTCCCCACCCCAACGCCTAGTTGATATAAACGCGGTGGTGGAGGCGACCGTGTGACGGTGCATCCTGGCCTGTCGTCTTTTTTCAACACAGAAATCTGATATTACCAGTGCAGGGCATATGAGATTAGGACGTAATTTATCTAATGTAAATCACTTAGATGTGCCTACGGATTGCCCCATTCCTACAGATGCTGAAACTCGCGGAGAAAATGATAAACCCAGATGTCTAACTAACTACTCTCCCTTGCCTATGTAGCAGAAGAGAAAAATGTATCAGATTGTGTAAGAGAATATTAGATAAATGCGGCGAATTTGTAACATCGGTAAGTGCTTTGTCTTCATTCTTCTCTCGCGAACAACCTGTTGCCAGATATGAGGTGGAAACTAAAGGTTGGCATCCACAATCTAACTGGTTCGACCATCTCCAGACGACGAACATTTACGACAGACCTTCCATTTAGCCTGATGAAGACTATCGGCAAGTCTGCATGAGGTATGTTTACGAAACTTTGCAAATGTTATCACCAGGCATGGGAGAACGTGAATTCAATCGATTCTTGAGACCGACGATTCGATTTCTGATCACGCTTCAAGTGGTGACCTTCGTTCAGCAATGTGAACATCACTCGTTTTGATATACGCAGACGTTGCCCTGTGCCAGCGTAGATCGTAGACACACTTTTGGTTCGAGTCCCACATTGGGCCCAGGACAAAGCAAATGCAACAACAGATGGAACTGCTACAGCACTTTAATACACATAACACTAACTCCCACAAAGTTACCTTTTAAGCCAATAGATTATATTTACATTATCCTACTATTGTATACGACCCCGCAAATACAATAGGCATTATCGTGTGGCCTCTGTTGAACCAATGAAAATTGACTAAGTGCAAATGGCTACTGCCTTATTCTAAGAAAATTAAATTGCCCATTGCCTAGCCAATAATCGTGCAAGGCGTGAGTTCACTAATGCGCTCTCATCAAATTTAGACTGCAATACCCCTGGAATTCAGTGGCACTGATTCTCACAAAATTATCTGGGTATTAAGTAGCGCAATTAGCGAATCGTAAAAGCATACTGTTTTATGAGGCGTGTAGAGGGTAATTCTGGGTTGCTTAAACGCATTAACGCGAATTGCGTGTGGAAGCCACAAGTGGAAGCTAATGGTACCGTGTGGTCTTGATGCCTATTTACTTGCTCCCTCGTTAATGGATAATTAATGCTCTGAGATCGTGACTCATCCAAGTCATCGTTTTCAGGAGTTAGCTTTCACGATGTCTGCCAACTTACTGTTGTTTCTCGACAGAATAGAACTGCTCAGGGCGAATAGCTTAAAGCAAACTCACCGCAGGATGTACTAGAGGCGTCCACATATACGACTGGTTGCAGTGTTGGCAATTTGTGCTAATCGGCCCTTCACAGCAACGGTTCGCAAACTTGCCCAAATGGGAGAGACATTTATACCTAATCAACAGTCTCAACGAATATTTACATTTCCCCCATCCCCTGCCTGGTTCCTTTTAACATTTCGGAAATGCCTTTCAGACTACCTAGTCCCCCATCAAAGGTGCTACTTTTTATCACTAATTAACTAGCATCCAGAAATTCGCCCGTATCGTGTTCCCTTTTTTTCAAAAGATACTTAATTCAGGCGATATTAATCAAGTCACAGAGGAGATACATCCGAATGAATTCTTTAAATGAACAGCTGTTTTGACTTCGTTTGGGGCATTCGTGATTGGTGAAAAAAAAGTTAACAAACTTTATGAAAACAACTAAATCCGACGCGCCGAAGTCAAAAGTGTGCGTCTCTTTTCGTGCAAAAAAGCCTATGCCAGCTGACTTCGAAGTCAGTTACTGGTTAAATTTCCTGCTTTCTGTGTTTAACATGGTGCCAGTTCGACAGAAGCGTAATTCTCAGAGTAGTGCAGTTGTTAGAGGCATCGATGAAAACACCACGTCTCCAGGTCCAGTCTTTCGTTGCCACTAGCAACGCATAGTGGTATTCTGTGTGTGACTAGTAGAAAATTGGCAAGTTGGTAGCTGGAATGCCCCGAACAGATAGAGTGGTACGTGATTCAGTGAGACTGCGTTGAACCACATCAACTAGCAGACCAAATACGGCTGCAACTTTTAACCGCACGTTACAATGGCCGAGTTGTTTGTGGCTTGAAGTTGTAGACCAAAGGCTTTGAGGTGGCACTTGTCAAGTCCAGGGGAGATTACTCTAACCTCGTTACCCGTGTCAATCAAACACTTTAAATCGCTAATTGTATCAGGGACGTATACCAAGTGACAAGATTGAGTGACTAAGCTAGTTATAGCTGTTGTTAATCGGTTGTCGCTATTAGTAACTACCCATTTGGAAGGATTGGAGGCCTGCATGGGTATTCGCCGGTTTTTGGTAGTCAGCACCGCGATACTTGTATTAACAGAGGCCAGATAGCTTCTCAGAATGACTGGATCGACGAAGATCATAAGCTGTACGGAGTTAAGAGCAAGAGGGTCACTCATTGTTGACTGAAGAGCGGGTTGTGCAAGGTTTTGACTAAAACACCAGTCGGCGTCGGTTTGGTTCGCCGTAGTGGCTTGCTGTCACAACCTTACAACCCTCCCTGCTATGAACGAATGCAGCATTTTTGTACATTAAACCACGTAAATCTTTATATTCAGAGTCGGTATAGACCATCAATTGCAATCAATAATCAATGACAGTCGATAAGCCCGTGAATAAGCTTCAATCACGCATTTGGTTATCTGGGAACTTTCGGGAGATTTCTTGAAGACACTTCGGGTAAGGATGGGATAAACATGACACCATTGCATTTTCTTCGACACCTTCGGTTCTCTCAAGTATAAACAGACGTATTAAGTGGAATGGACGTGTTCACGGCAAATTGTGCAGCAAGCGTGGAATTAAGTGACTTCAGTTGGGCGTTTCTAAGGCCACGTCTTTGCTCAACTCAAGCAGTCTCACCGTGAGATTCCCCACCAGGCATTGGTGATAAGCTAATTCGATAAGACGTGTTTTTGAGGCTGCGCGGCAAGCAGCGTTATTCCATGTGTACTGTGCACCTCGATGGCTCCCTGGCATGCATTTGCAAGAGGTTGCGCAGCATTGAAAAGGGGTGCGTGAAAAATGATGACGTTTCGTGCCCTAAGGCAATAATTCACCGCCGAAACTCATTCATCAATGCCTAAAACTTTTCGTTGCAACATCCGTTTTATCGCTTCAGTGCGCAGTCTTTTCGTGTTTAGAGAAAGTTGACTGTAGTGGCGGACATCCGTTATCACGACCTGCCCCCTAGAAACGGTGGTCATTATTTTGCACTTATTGAGGGGGATTATAAAATCATTTTTCACTGGTTCAAATCAGTCGATGCCGGTCCCCAAGTGTGGCTTTTAATTCATAATTTATTGCACGCTTCTAACACAAAACCTGGGTAATTTTCGGTCCCGAGATTCCCAAGTGGGAAAGAAAAAATGCCAGATTTATGGTGGTAGTTTTCAGAGTTCCAAGAGAGACGTTCCAGATTCAAATGGACGTTCTGGGATAAACTAGGAATCAAGCATCCATGTAAGCATCGTCACTCGCAATTCGCCACCCTAAATGACTCTTTCCGGCATCTATTTCAGGAGTCGTGCCTAGGGATTGGCAAAACGCGTTTCCAGAGCTAGAATTGCGTCTAGAGGCCGTTTTGGTCAGTTGTGGCGTGAGTGCTGATCTCCACGCTGAAGTACTCGAAGGAGCATTTCCACCCACTGGGTCAATGCACAAATTTGACGAAATTGAGCTAGTGGTTCTACTATCCCGTTCAGCCTCGTGCCCAGGCCATTCTTAGCCAGACTTCCACCGTCTTCGTGTGAATCTGATTCAGAAAAAGTAGACCTATTGAACTTCATCCTAAAGCGAAATAGTATTAATCATGATGGCCTTATGAATGCGATTTATTCAATGAAGATGTCTTCACATAGAATCTGGTGTCTTTCAGTGAGATGCTGGGATTTCAAATAGTCCGAAATGGGTCACAGCTGAACTGGATCCTTTTGTGGAACGCGTCCTAAAGAACATCTTTATTCTTTAATTGGAAAGACATTTAGGGACCAACCAATTAAACAGGCTTATTAGATGTGACAAATTGACACGTTTTCAAACCTCTTAATATTAAAAATTTTGTTTTAACGCGGTGCTTTGTGCACCAAGTCCTTCGCGCTGTTTACTATCAATCTTCATGGACAGCTAAACATTCATTTTTAATCACAGAAGAGCACACACCGCAAATGGCTTTGAAAATTCTTTGTATCACGTTTAAGCCTACTTCAAAGAGATATTTTGCCAAGTCTGGAACGTGGAAGCAACCAAAAAAACGCAATGATACCGCAGTAAACATCCAACCCTCAACCCACTGCCTTTGTATCGAAGATACTTTTTCTGAATTCACAAAGTCGCGTGTTTTGTCATTCATAATTTTTATTAATTTTGTTAGGTGTGATGTATTCTTATTCTGTGACTGCAATGATGCACATTTGTTCGATTCCTGCGAGCACCGATGCCTGCAGAATTTGATTGGTTGGGGGAGACTCGAACCAGGTGTTACTCTGTGCATTTCTGTTCGTATGACGCAGCGCATGAGACCCAATCAAGAGGCATCATAAGAGAAATGGGCAACGATTCTCCTAGAATTTACGGTTATTTGCGATTCACCAACTTTGGAAAGGAAATTATAGAGAAGAACGTCGCATTAGCACGCGCACACGCTCAGAGAAACAACCAAAGAAATTGGGAATAATTTTAACCAGAAATTTTAAATTACCCCAACCGCTTAAGCCACGCTCTGCCAATATCTGCACGCGCGTACCTCCGTCTCGCGTGCACCAGAGTGGATGAGCAGAGAGAGCGGAGTGCCAGGGTGATGCAGCGTGGCGGCGGAGATGGTGGTGGTGGTCGTCGTGGGCTTGCTTTCAATGCCCCCCTGTTTTACCTAATCCCCTCTCCCTCTCTCCAACTCTGCCTCTCCCTCTCATCGCTTCTGTAACGTAAGTACAGTCAGTCGGCTCCGGCTGCTACTGCAGAGGCGGCGGCGGCGGAGTAGGGGGTGGTGGCGGAGGGAGGAGGGAGGGGAACTGCAGGCTCCTCTCTCCCTCTTTTTTCCGATGCCGCTCCAATAGTTGAGATTTTTTCCTCTGCCGCCGCCGCCGCCTCCTCCTCCTTCTTGTCCTTCTGCCGTACTACACGAAAATTGCAGAAGTTTACAACCGAGTGTAGAACACACTGCAAAAATGAAAAATGCAGCTAAAATAGTGACTGCAGGAAAAAGGACGAACAGGGCGAAGAGATAGTTGAGTCCCTCGTCGGCTGCACACCAGGCCTGGGATTGTAATCAAGCGTGGGGCCTCCTATCGCACCAGGGCCACCGGCTACCCTACACATTCGTTTATTTGACGGCCCAATCTGGTTGTTGTTGCTGCTGCTGTTGTCTTATTAGTGTGTTCAAGGTCGTCTATGACTAATGATGTTGTTGACCGATGCGATTTGGGTGAACTAGAAGGCGTACAAACGACTGATTGACCAGATGAATGAAGTGAGTTGTGTGGGGGAGGTGTGTGCACAAAAGTGTATGAGAAGACGGTCTAGCATGATTGATGGGGGTGCTGCGAAAAGAGGGGCATGGGGCGGTGTTGGGGTATGCGGCGACAGGGCTGATGGACGTGAACCAACTCGATCCACTACAGGAGAACCCTCACTAAACCAACCTTCCAGCATGCGGATAATCACGTTGTTGTCACAACAGAGTCCGAAGTCTAACTTCGGCAATTGACCCATGACATTACGGTAAGCATCAAGCAAGCTGCGTCAGCCAATCTGGGCAGTTTGACTTTCTCTTGTTCAAAATGGCCATTTTTCTTATCATTGAAGAAATTTGATGTACAAATGAACATATGGGAAGAGACCAAGGCAGTTCTAAGTGTTCAAATATCCTTTTTTAACGCAATTATAGCATAGTTTGGAGATAACGACTTTACTGCTGAAATGCAGGGCTAAATAATGGAACAGCGGAATCATCGTCAAAACCTGTTAGTTATCAAAAAATTGTTTTTTATGAAATTTTTGAGCCTCGCGGTGACCCAATAACTTCAGTCTGTTAAAACATGTATTTATCGGAACGCTGAACATCAATCAATTTAAAACTAATGACATGTTACAAAACTAATTTGTCAGTGCGGTTCTGAAAATACGTTTTGACTCTCAGACCGCAAAAGGTCTGAGTGTAATACTTTAAATTGTTGCCTGCTCCACGTTCAGAGTCCAGGTTTAACGCGTTTGCGAAGCTTGCTTTTTGTACAGTAAACTAAGTTCTTTTGATTGGGTCATTTCGATTGTCTGCTGGCATGAACAATTGGGTGTTTAATGGAGAAAGTGGAGCAGTGTTCTTTTCTGATAACTGACTGCAGAATTTTCCAGGAAACCTTTGTTGTCTGGAAGCTAGAACTGAGTCTAAAACTACGAGTCCAGATACAGCAAGTTCTCCTCAAGGGAGATCCACTCCCGACGAGATGGAAGCTCTCTGGAGGACAGCGTGTCTGATGTGGCTGAGCGACACCAACGCCGGAAGACGAATGGTCCGTTATACCTCACTAACACAACTCCTACAACAGCCGTGTAACACAGCAGATCGCGAGAGAGCGATTTCTGATCTGGTGATTCGACCCTACATCAACTGTTGCCATGTTCGGTGGTGAGGTGAAGGTGTCGGAAAATTTGGAGTGGATAAATGTGAGGCCAAACATCGAGTGGTGCATTTGTCGAAATCACGTTACCTCGCATTTCACATCTCGTCTTTCAGTTGTGCTTGATTTGCTAGCACCTACTCATGTCGTCTCCACAGGGGATCGAAGATGGATTCGTTAGTTTGAATTTTTCGTGCAGGCACGAACGCACGCACACAGGCAGGCATGCAGGATCACCTCACCGAAGCTGTG